AAAAAAAAAAGAAAAGCAGCAGGGCTGGGTGTGGTGGCTCGCTCCTGTAATCCTAGAACTCTAGGAGGCCGAGGCAGGTCTGATTGCCTGAGTAGGAGTTCAAGACCAGCCTAAGCAAAAGCAAAACCCCATCTCTACTAAAAACAGAGAAACTACGCACTGTGGCGGATGCCTACTACAGTCCTACCTACTTGGGAGGCTGAGGCAAGAGAATTGCTTAAGCCTAACAGACTGAGGTTGCTGTGAGCTACAATGCCATAGCACTCTACCTAGGGTGACAAAGTGAGATTCTGTTTAAAAAAAAAGTGAGCTCCCGCCCAGAGCACCCAGTCGCCGGCCACAGGGCTCTGTTCCCCACCCCCCAACACAGCTAGCTAGTGTCCACAGCACCTCTTGGCCCAGACTTCAGTAGACCTCACCAAAATGCCATCTCAGATGGAGCAGGCCATGGAAACAATTATGTTCACGTTTCACAAATTTGCTGGGGATAAAGGCTACTTAACAAAAGAGGACCTCAGAGTGCTCATGGAGGAGTTCCCAGGATTTCTAGAAAATCAAAAAGACCCTCTGGCCTTTGACAAAGTAAAGAAGGACCTGGATCAGTGCCAAGATGGCAAAGTGGGCTTCCAGAGCTGCTTTTCCCTAACTGCAGGCCTCACCATCACATGTAATGACTATTTTGTAGTACACATGAAGCAGAAGGAGAAAAAATAGGTAGAACCGAGCAATTACTCTGCCCTTTAAAAGTGTTCTCTCAAAGGATTGCTTCAAACATCTGCCCCACAGCTTCTCCTTGTATAAGATTTCATGAGTAGATCAGGACCCTTAGAATATATACAAATAAAATCCAATTCCCAATTGTCAAGGATAGAAGGAAAAGTTAATTAAATGCCAGATGAGCTTTTGATTTCTACATTGTTTGCATCCCCTTGCCCTTAATAAACATAATCCATTTTTTAATTCAAAAAAAAGAAAAGCAACACAGATTACTGGTTAACATGGGATAGCTTCAAGTCTAGTTTTGTTACTTACTTGACCTTAGACCGAGTCTACTTAACCTGGAGATTGGTCTCTTCACCTATAAAACAGAATAACAGTCTACCCTACTGTATAAATTTGTTATGAAGATTCAATCAGTTAATATGTATTAACAGGCTTAAAGTAATTCTGCTATTATTATCTTTCCCTCAACAAATATCACAATTAATACTTGTTACTTCTAAGTACCATGATAGTGGTAAGTGATAGATAAGTGTGAACCAGGGTCTTTGACCTCATCAGGAGACAGATGACAAACAAGGAAATAAAACAGTGAGAAGGCCCATGTATCACATCATACTGATATAAAATGACTAGGGGATGGGGCTTTAGCTAGGCTGAGGGACATGACATTTACATTGAGATATGAAGGATGAGACAAAGCCAGAATATTTGTTGGGAAAGCATTCAGAGAGAATAGCAAATGCAAAGGCCCCGGAGCAGGAATGAGCTTAGCTGTTTGAGGAATATCCAGAAAGCGAGTGTGGCTAGAATAGGGATGAAGAGAGAAGAGAACCACAAGTTCCTAAAAGGCAGGAGTTTTAATAGCCTCCAATAAATGCTCCACAATTAAGTTAAGAGCTAGGCAAGGAATAGGACCATAGTGTGAACTTAAGTTTTCAGTATGTATTTGGTGGAAAGCCGTAGGTGGGTTAAGCAGTAGAGACACACACCTGATTTGTGTGTTTCTGAATGAATGGTAAGGCCCTCCTCAATTCCCTGTGCCCAGCTCCTACCTTCCAGGTCCACACCGTGGCGCTGGGCCAGGTGGAGAACACTGTCCCCAACTCTGCCGCTCACTGGAATCCGCTGGCCTGACCGGTCGACAAACACCACATTCACTCTGGGGATAGACAGGGGTGGTTAACTAGATGATAGACTCGGGCTAGGGTTTGCAGATTTAGGCTGTGGCTTGACGGACAAGGGACAGAGAGCCAATAGAGGGAGGGACCTAGGGACGAAGCTGCAGGGCTAAGCGGGGACCGGAGAAACCTGGCGGGACGAGAAAAGGAGAATATGACCCACCACCATGCACTCACACGTCCTCAGGCCCCTCAGAGACGCCGGCTTCCTCCTCTCCCGATCGGCGGGAGCCTGGAAAACACGGTTGGGTGAGCGGCTGTGCCCCACGCAGAGGGCGTCTGACACGTTAACGCTGCTCATCCCGGGCGCCCCAGGTACCTGTCCCCCGGAATTTCCTGGTTATCGCCGGCGCTGCCGTCTCCCCGGACCCCGAACAGCCCCCAGGTCTCCTCCACCAAATGTCCCTCGGAGCCCGCAGCAGAACCTTCGCGTTCACGCCTCCTCTAGCCAAGGAGGCGGCCATGACGAACGTCACGTGACCCGAGGACTGCGTGCTTCTCCAGACGCGCACGCAAAGGGCCCCGTAATTACTCGAAGATAAGCGCCGACGTTTGCTTGGGGCGGGTGGCGGTTAAGGCGCCCAGGCGAGGACCACCAGGGTGGGAAGGCACAGGGCAGAAACTGGCACACGGAAACCTGTGAGGGTAGCCCATATCTCCCACCCAGGCCCACTGTTGTCCAAAGAATCAGCCAGTTCTGATTTCTTTAAAACCATTTACTTACAAACTTTTATTCAGCAAAGGTCTGTGTGAGGAGATTGGGGAAGAGGACATCCCCCTAGAGTGGATGTGGGCCCCTGGAGGCAGAGAAAGGGAAGCTGGTGGCCCAGTAAGATAAGGGTCAAGGCCCAGGGACACCTCAGGTCGACACGTCCTGCTAGAGGGCAGGTGCAGAGCTTATCTGCATGGAGTCGTTAGTTTCTGGCATGGGGCCAAAAGGAAGCCAACTTCAGTGATCTGGCCTCGGATGGAGAGTGTAGCTTATCTTCAACAAGAGGGCAGACAGCAGAGGCTTGGTGAGATGGGTGCCAGGCCTGATTCCCATAGACAGCAGGGGAACTGGTTTAAGCTGGCAGAGAAAGTCCCTCTCTACACCTAGTCCTGGGCAGGAGTGGTGGGATTAATTTGCCAAGAGGAAGGCTTTGGCCTTCTACTATCCCTGGGGTGGAGATCCTACGTAGGGGGACCCAAAACCTAGGCCAGAGCTGTTTGGTCCTTAGTCAAGCTCCCAGAGCTCAGCATCTGAAGCTCTGGCCAGCTGGGGCCTGGGGCCTAGCTTTAAGGCATCAGAGGCGAGGGGGCTGAGGCAGGGAGGTGGGGACCTGGGGACCTGGGGCTCAGGTACAGAGCAGGCAGGCAGAGCCAGGAGACCACCATGCCTGCAGTAGACATGGGAAAAGAGAAAAGGGCTGAGCTGTTTCAAACCAAAAAGTGTGGAATGGAGGCCCAGACAGGCTAGACCTTGAAGAAATCAGAGCTGGGGTTTGTCCTGGATGGTCTAAAAATTAAAAATTAGAAAAAGAAACAGAAGTCAATTGTCAAAGTTAAAAAAGGGGACAGTCTCTGATCCTCACAGGAGGCCAGGGAAACCTCCAAGGCACATGAAGGGCCAAAATACAGGAGTGATGAAGCAGGAAAGGACTCCTGGAGATATGGGCACAGATGGAGGACAGGAGACGGGGAAGGAGAGAGCAGGCCAGGGCCCCTCTCTTAAGGCTGTGGGGTTTCAGTGCTGGGAGTGGGCCAGAGGTGCAGTGAGACCTCCAGATTCCCCCACACTCCTAGGGCTCTTGGGGCTCCGGCTTGCTGGTCAGTAAAGTCTTTCAGAGATTCTTCTATTACTAAAAGAAGGAAAATGTTTTTAAAAACACACAAAAAAACACCAGAAAACCCAACAGCGATTTGGTGCAGGCTCTCAGGCATCTCTGGTGCCAGCCCCTTAGAAAATTCTCTTCCGCTTCAGGTAGGAGTCTGCGTAGTGGCCACCGAGGCCCTGGGAGTGCTGGCCCACATAGCTGCCTTCTGGGCTGGGCTCAGGTGAGGGCAGCAGGTGGGCAAAGCTGCGTTTCTGGCCGCCCAGTGGGGTCTGGAGACAAAGGGTGGGGAGTATGGGTCAGGGGTTGCCTGAGAGCCAGGGCTCCTCAGCCTTGCATATCCCCACCCCCTGCCCGTACCTTCAGCAGGTGGCTGTGACCATTGGGCCCAGGGCCAAGGCCTAGGAGCCCTTCTCTGGACCCCAGTAGGGAGGAGCCAACTGCCTGGGGGAAATGAGAGAGATGGGATGGGTCACTTCCTAGGGGGTCACAGGGAATACCCGCTGTGGGAAGACAAGGGATTTCAAGTTCTAGTCTTGCCTCTGCCACTTACTAGATACGAAAACTAGGGCAGATTACTCCATTTCTCTCAGCCTCAGTTTCCTCAGCTGCCAAATGGGGCTAATACCAACCCACACCCTAGGAAGTGAGGGAGAGCCCAGAAGCCTTGCAGGGTGAGAGAACCACAGGTTACGTCCACTCTGCCCCAAGCAGGACTGACACTTGCCACTGCCCCAGCCTTGGTCCAGGTCAGACGTCCTCAAACTACGGCCCACGGGCCACATGAGGCCTGCCTAAGACATTTATCTGGCCCGCCAGGTGTTTTTACCGCTGCTGCCTGTCCTGCTTAGCAGCCAACTTGTCCCAAGGCCTGTAGTCCTGCCCTCTAATTGTCTGAGGGACAGTGAACTGGCCCCCTTTTTAAAAAGTTTGAGGACCCTTGGTCTAGGCAATGAGAATCACAGAGCCTGGTGGCAGGTACCCCCAAATCTGGGCTATCCCAGAGGACTGGTCCTTGGCTGGGGAGGCTCCTTACCTTGTTGAGGTGGCTCTGCTTGAGGCCAGCCTGCAGGCCACTGGTGAAGTAGGAAGTGGGTGAGCCCGAGTAGAAGTGAGAGAGGGGCCCACCTCCACCCCCACCACTCCGCTCGCCAAAGCCACTGGGTGGGGGAGACATCTGCAGAGAGGGGATTGGCTGAGTAAAGCAGATGACTATAACATCCACTCCCTTGTGTAGGATCCCCCGCAAACAGGTATGGGCTTTGCCCTAATGGGCTGAAGAGACCCCATAAATGAGGGTAGGGCAGCCTGCTGGAGGTGAGTGCCATATGGCACAGGGATGAGCCATTCTAGCCCATGGACCACCAAAGCTATGTGCCCCAATGAGGCCCAAGTTGAGTACCAGGTCACTTTGGGGAACCACCCACACCCTAGAATGGTGAGAAATAATAAAACATTTGCATGGCTTGTTATGCAACACAGGCTGGCTGCTACACCTGGGAGGTGGGATGCAAAGACAGGGTGGCTATTACCTTGTGTCGGCTGGGTCCATGAGGCCCGAGGGCTGGCTCCCGTGGGTGAGAGAAGAGCCGCCGAGGTCCTACCTCCTGAATAAAAGTGGAAGAAGCACAATAGGTTGGGCTGGCTGAACTCAATAGCACAGCGGTCACCAGGGAAGCTGGTGCCTACCATTCTGGGCCCAAAAGGGGGCAGATGTGGCCTTGGGAGCCATGAGAGAATGGGGAGCTGGAATGAAGCAGAATGTGTGCCCCATCCCAGGGGGTAGCTGCACCTTAGCCCCAGTGTTGGCTGCTGGGAAGGAAAGTGGCCCCACCAAGCCAGGTGTTTGAAGTTTTCCAGGCCAGCCGGGAATACAGGCTGAATAACTTCTTGCAATTTCCCTGTGTTGATGTTTATTTTAGCTTTGATTTGTTTGTGGGATAAACATACCACAGGCAGCCAGCGGGGTGGCCAGTTTACAATTTCCGACACAAAGGATGTTGGGGTCATAGAAGGACCAAATCTCCAGGGACAGAGTTACAAATCAAAGGCAGGAGAGATGAATAGAGACAGGCAGGAAGCCTAGCCCTGTATCTAGAGAGAAGTTAAGGATGGCCTAAGGCCTGTCAGAAGAGAGACAGATAAACAGATGTAGGCTGAGATCATGCAGATCTGGGAAGTGGACAGATAAGCAGACAGGGAAACAGGGTCTAATGTGCAGAGATGGACAGATATGAAGATTAAGAGAAATATGGCATATTCTCAGCTAGAGTAAAGCCTGGCATAGTCAGAGCTAGAGAAGTACCAGACTGGAGAATGATTTGGCCTGAGGGAACAGAGGGCCATGCAGCCAACCACTCACTGAGGGGTAGTCCAAGTTGCAGCTGTCAGGCAGTCCTGGTTCAGCAGGCAGGCGGGTGCTGGTGAGAGGGCTGAGCAGGTGGGACTTGAGCTGGAAGGCTTTGCTGCTGCTGCTGTTGCTGCTGCTGCTGCCACCACTGCCACCTCCACCAGGGGCTGAGGGGTTAGGCAGGGGGCCCTCAGCTAGGTGGTGGCTTCTCCCGGTGCCTCCCCAGCCCCGGGGCTCCTTACCCGCCAGGTTGCTGGCTGGGAGCAGGCTGTGCAGGTTCAGGTAGGGATTCAGGGGGATCCGGTAGTCCTTGGGGGGTTCCCCTAGCAGCGAGACCTGTGGTGGGAGGGCTAGATTCAAGACGGCCCCAGCGGGGGATCTGGCCAGGTGGGAGGCTAGAGTGGTGCTGGGTATAGGGCAGGGCCTTACCCCGGGGGGCGTTGGCAGGGGCCCACTGTCCTTCTGCAGGCTCCTGAGGCCAGTGCCTCGGAGCCCCATGGGGCCTGGGGGAGGAGTATGCTGGGCAGCTGGGGGACCCAGGCCCATGGCCTCCCGGTCACCCCCAGCAGGGCCAAGCAGTGGTGGCAACAGGGGTGGTGGCTTCCCTCGACGGGGTGGCAGCTCTGGGGGCAGGCCCCCGCCTAGGGAGAGAAGGAGGAGTTCAGTGGCCTGGCCTTGCAGGACCCCTCTTCCTGGGGCTACTACATGCTGGCTATTGACAAAGCTCATGGCCAGCCCAGGATGTGGGCACCCAACTGACAGATGAGGACCCTGATTACCCAAAGAGGTTATGTTGCTTGCCCCAGGGCACACACATGGGAACTTACAACTCCCAGCAGGGAGCAGCGGCTCAGGAAGCAGAAAAATGCTGGTGCCTGGAGGTCAAGGTATGGGGCAGGGCTTTGAGGCAGGGTTCATGTTACCTGCAGACAGCTCTCCAAGGAGGGGGTTAGGTGGCTGGGCCCCAGGCTGAAGGGTGCCCAGGGGCGAATCTCCCAGGATCCCGGGCTTCTAGGACAGAGAATAGATAGCTGGAGACAGGGTAGGGTGGCCTGGGTGTAGACAGGTGTCCCCCAGTCTTGAAGGTCACAACACTCAGCACACCCAGAATCCAGTCCATAGCCAGGACACACAGTGTCCTCCAGTACCTGTGACACTCAATCCATTGCCCATCTGGTCAGGCAGGACACTGAGCATCTTGTGCATGCCAGGGCCTGTCACCCCATATTGTCCCAAACCTAGCCCTTGGCCAATGATCACACAGCAGGGTTGACTATAGCCACATGGCGTTTCAGTCACTTTGTTCTATAA